TCCCACCGGAACAGCCATCTCAACAAGCCGGTCGGATAAAGCTAGTGAAGAAGAAGAAGAAGAGGAGGAGGAGGAGGAGGAGGAGGTTCAGCTGAAGCGGTTGAACTTCGGGGCGAGGAGAGATAGGGTTCGGACTTGTTTGCGACTAAGGCAAGGCAATGTGAGGCAGGAAGACCGAGTCGTACCAAGAAAAAGGAAGAAGAGGATAGGCCAAAAGGGAAGAATTGTTAGCAAGTGTGGTTTGACGCATGTCGTCGGAGCTGTCGTCGGAGAATCTCCCGTGACGGTAGATCAGACGGAGGTGTGGGAGGCGATAGGCAAAAAGCGGACAACGCATCCGCGAATAGAGAGAGGTCGTGTGCGTCCTCGTGTGTGAAGAGGAGTCATGGTTGAAGGAACAACGTGGTCCTCCTTACTCTCTCTTGTTTTGCGCGGGAAGTTGGAACTCATAGCCCCTCCTTGCATTTCCAGACATTGTCCATCTGGAGGCTTGGCATTCTGGGAGAACGGCACGGCAGCGACCACGGATTATCGAGTAAGGTAGGTACTGAGAAGGAAGTAAATGACACCACTTGGATGAGAGTGGCAATGTTAAGCACCCATTCTCTGCTCAAAGTTCGCCCAAGCTGTGTGGCCATCCTGGGGATCGTCTCATTGTGTAAGTGTGCGCGAGTTTTACGTACCTTGAAGGTAAGGTAGCTCTAGCTTGTCTGGGTTGGGTTGGATGGTTGGCTTTCGTTGGACGGATAAGTTGTAATAGGTTTGTAAACCGGATGGTAAGCTTAGTCGGACAGAAAACTCACAAGAGGCACATGGCACATGAACATCCATCACAAAAAAGAAGGTCCAAGACTCTCCAATACTCCAATAACTCTCCAAATAAAGAAGGGGTCGGCAGCACCCCGATCTACAATTTTAGCGAGAGTTTTCCCGTCCGCCTATCTTACCCGCTAACCCAACCCGCGCCCCTGGGATGGGGCGTGGAGTTCGCTCTTTCTCTTCGCCTGTATTATTTGCAGACACACACACACGCATACACACGGCACACGCAGCACCACACCACACCATACCACACCTCGAAAACCCCAAGAACTAACGGATACTTCGCCGCGGGGCACACACATGGACCATGGTTCCAAGAACTATCCGCACGGCGCGGGGGGAGCCAATGGTATTTCTCCCAGACTTTACAGCGAGAATTGAGCTCCTTTCAGGCCAAGTCATTGGTCCGCCCAGCGCGCACCACCACCACCATTACTCTCCGCGGACCACCACCCACACACCATTGAGCCGTCGAACGCGCACCTTAGCAAACGCAGTTAATTAGCACGATTAGGTGGCCGTCCACCCCGCGCGGGCAGCAAGTAAACTCGGGACTGACTCCAAGGAGGACCAAGGGCCACCACCCGCATGCGGCGCTTGCATGCACCGGCCTGTCATCGAGAGGGACGATCTTCCGCACCGTGGCCCACACACGCACGACGTTTCGTGTCCCGCCTCGGTTATTGCCAGTGTCTTTCGACCACCTTGTTTTGTCTGACTTGGATCCAACTTGAGAGACAGAGCGAGACCAAAGAGAGAGCGAGAGAGGGGGCGGGGAAAGACAGTTGCGCCCCCGGGCTTAGGTCGACTGTGGCCTGGGTTGAGAGGATGTAGGTATGTATATAAGTCAGAGCGAGGAGCTTCCAGGCGCGCAATCCTTTTTTTGAGCTTGCAAGCTAGTTCTGGTGTGTTGCTCTGTCTGCCCTGCGCTCCTCTACTCTGTACTGAGCATATCTACTGTCCCACTTCCTTCTTTCTTCTTCCCCCCCTTCTCTCCTTCTTTCACACCCAATTGCAACCTCTCTAGGTAGACTGACTTTCAACAGCCCTGTCAGACTGGTTTTCGGTATGGGTTCGATCACTCTGAACAACGCCAGCAGAGCCTGGTGGAAGGATGCTGTCATCTACCAGATCTACCCCGCCAGCTTCAAGGACGGCAACGGAGATGGCCTCGGCGACGTCCAGGGCATGATTGACAAGGTTGATTACCTCAAGGACCTGGGCACTGACATCGTATGGGTCTCGCCCATGTACGCCAGCCCTCAGGTCGATATGGGCTACGATATTTCCGATTACCAGGACGTCCACCGCCCCTACGGCACCGTCCGCGACATGGAGGTCCTCATTGAGGAATGCCACAAGCGCGGTATGAAGCTCATCCTTGACCTCGTCGTCAACCACACCTCGGACCAGCACAAGTGGTTTCAGGAGTCGAGATCCTCAAAAACGAACCCCAAGCGGAACTGGTACATCTGGAAACCTCCTCGTTACGCCGAGGACGGCACCCGTCTGCCTCCCACCAACTGGCGAAGCCACTTCAGCGGTAGCACATGGGAGTGGGACGAGCCCACGGGCGAGTATTACCTGCACCTCTTCGCCAAGGAGCAGCCCGATCTCAACTGGGAGAACGAGGAGACGCGCGAGGCCATTTACGAGAACGCCATGCGCTTCTGGCTCGATAAGGGCGTCGACGGCTTCCGCATTGACACGGTCAACATGTACAGCAAGGGCGTCGACTTCCGCGACGCCCCGATCATGAACAAGAACGCCTACGAGCAGCCCGCCTACATGATTTACTGCAACGGTCCGCGGATACACGAGTTCCTGCGCGAGATGAACGCAAAAGTCCTCAACCACTACGATACCGTCACCGTCGGCGAGCTCCCCCACACCCCGGACCCGAAACACGTCCTCAAGTTCATCAGCGCCGCCGACCGCCAGCTCGACATGGTCTTCCAGTTCGACATTGTCGACCTCGGTCAGGGCGTCGGATACAAGTACCAGGCCCAGAAGTGGACCTTGCCCGAGCTGAAGCGCATCGTGGCGAAGTGGCAGCAGTTCATCGAGGGTACCGACGGCTGGACGACGGCCTTTTGCGAGAACCACGACCAGGGCAGGTCCGTCTCGCGCTGGGGCAGCGACTCGCCCGAGTGGCGCGAGACGTCGGCCAAGATGCTGGCGCTCATGATGTGCTCGCAGACGGGCACGCTCTTCGTCTACCAGGGCCAGGAGATCGGCATGACCAACGTCTCGCGTAGCTGGGGCATCGAGGACTACAAGGACATTGAGGCGCTCAACTACTACGACGACATCAAGAAGGAATTTGGCGAGGGCAGTGACATGCTGAAATACGTCATGGACGGCATCAACCTGCTCGGCCGCGACAACGCGCGCATACCGATGCAGTGGGACGACAAGCCGTACGCCGGCTTCACGGACAACAAGAACGGCGCGTGGATGCGCGTCCACGACGAGTACCGGTCCATCAACGTCGCCAAGCAGGAAAAGGAACCGGGCTCGGTGCTGAACTTTTGGCGCGAGATGCTGAAGTTGCGCAAGGAGGAGGGCGAGCTTCTGACGCACGGCGCGTTTGAGCTGTTTGATGTGGAGAACAAGGAGACGTTTGTGTATAAGAAGTCGCGCGGGGGCCGGAGCGCCGTCGTGGTGTTGAACTTCACGGGTGAGGAGCAGGCGGTCGAGGTCCCCAGCGAGGGCGCCAAGATCCGGGTCGGAAACTACGACGATGTCAAGGAAAGAGTTGCTTCCGAGAGCGGCAAGACGGTCTTGAGGCCCTGGGAGGGACGTTTGTATCTGCAGGGTTGAAGCTGTGTAAGCATGTGGTTCTTGGATATACCTCCTGAGTTATAGGGTAAAATGGTTTGGTGGAACAAGATCTAGTGCAGATTTGCGGATTGCGCTATTTTGATTGATGGTCTATGGAGAGATGATTGGCCTACCGTGGCTAGAACTTTTTGGGATTTTTGTTGTTCAGGATATCAAATGAAGCTATTCCCAACTCCTCAAGACTGCCTCTTTGTACCTTTTGGAGTCGCTAAATGGATGAATAGCCCCCAAAGTTGGGGTAAGCTCCCTTGCAGTGTCCGTGCTCCCCCTCTGTCGGCTTCCCGCATGCGGTTGCATCCCCACACCATCTTTAATCCTCCAACATCCATCCAACTTCCCCCAACACGTACTTTCTCAACCAAAGTTTGCCTGGAGAGCTGATCCAAACAAATTTTCAGTGGAAGAAGGAATTGTTTGACTCATAGCCATTTTCAAAATGCAATAAAGAGACTTTTATTGTATGATTATGCTGCTTTTGGCACTCTTGAAAGCTACTGCACTTAGTTCCGGGAAGGATGGATTGTGAAGTGTGTATAAGAGAGTCAGAGAAAAGGAGGAACCCAAGGCGGTGTCTTGCATGGACAAACTACGCCGAGCTAGATACTCTTCTAATTTTCCGAAGCCATATGCTTTCACGTCATTCTGTTAACCAAGTCGGCTGGCTTTTCTTCTTGCTTACAGTCTGGCAAACTAATGCCCTTCATCCTTATACAGATTGGCGTTGCATGGTATGCTTGAAAGCCCGCAAAGGAGGTTTGTCGTTTCGACGGAATATCTATCCAAAGCCGACTTTCAACCACGTTTGAGAACCTACGAGGTGCTTTATAACATGAGATCGAGATGAGACCCTATAGAACCAGGTCTTTCAGTCGATATCACTTGAGGAACTCTATTTCTTGATTCTAGAGGATCATATCCATTTCGGCTTCCTCTTAGGTGACGGTCTCGCATCGTGTGGAAAACACGTGCCACGTTGGGCAACATTGACCGTTGCCAGCATATTTAAGAATGCGAGCGTATCGTTTGAGTTCACTTGAAAGCCGGGTATCGTCGATGTCAAGTAGATCCTTGCCACAGTGAATCCTGAAAAGCCTCCCATGTCAAGGTTGAGGACTGAACAAGGGCTGTCTTTTGGTTCTACTTTATTCGATTGAAAACCTATGTGCTTACTTCAAGTTCATTTCGAATACTAGTCACGATCCACTTATGGCCTTATATCATGCTACGAATACGTGCGAGCGACTAAGCAATGATGAGAGGTATCTGTCAAAATAGCTTCTCGCTTCTCTTACTTCTCGAACTTCCTGCTTCCCATCCAACGCACCACAGCCAAGATGCCTTCCCTCGGTCAAAGCTTGGCCCTGGTGTACGTCATCGTAGTCCAGGTGCTCTACCTCTCCTTCGGCACCAGAGGAGGAATCATCATCGACCTCATTCTGACCGCTTTTATAGCAGTCCCCGTCACCGCTGGAATCCGGCTCATTGCCTCCGCCATCAGCCCTCGCGCCAGCAAGACCGTCCTCCCTGGTCGTCCTATCGAATACTACATGACATTCAAGCATCCGGCAAATGTCAAGTACCGCGGCAAGAGAAAGATCCCGATGGCTACCTTCTGCCAGATGCAGCTCGATGGAGACGTTAAGATGAACGGAGACACCCTGACTATCCTCGAAAGAGACATGACTGGGCTTCTTTCCGCCTGACCTTCGGTCTCATCTACTTCGTCCTCTTCAAGCTCATCCCAAATGTTGTTGAGAATCTCTGCTTTCATAGTATATTTTACTCTCACACTACCCTCGTCAAATTGTAAACGTCTAATCCTTATGTATTCAGATGACGGAGATATCCATCCAGCCCACGAGGAACTCGATCTAGGCATACTCCGCGGCTTCCTGGGACCCCGGATGATGTACACTTCAGGTCTCGTCCGCGACACCAACAAGCAAGAGTTCCTCGAGGAACTCGAGAACAATAAGCTCGGCGTCATCTGCGAAAAGATCCACCTCAATCCGTACGACAGAGTCCTCAGCGTCGGCTACGGGTGGGAAGCGTTCGCCAACTACGCCCGTCGTATCTTCCCTCACGTCCCATCCACTGGTCTCAACCACGTCGCCGAGTACACCAACATCGCTCCCATCAAAGGCGGCTACAAGAAAATCGTCTGCACGTATCTAGCCGAGCACAAAGGCCCCGACAACTTCATGGCTCTGCACAACGGCCCCGGCGAGTACTCAGACTTTTTCGAGCCCATTCAAGGCCTGCTCGCCGACGACGGCATCTTCTTCCTCGAGGTCGCGGGCGGTAATGAGTCCTGGCAGTACGAGGGTCTCGTATGGAGACTCCTGATGGTCAGGTGCGTCTGCCCCGACGCCGTCCCTTATGCCTCGCTCGCATCCTTGATCAACCAGCTCGAGACCGCCGGCTTCAGAGCTAATAGTGTGGAAAACGTTGGTCGCCACTACTCTGAGACGGTTCGGAAGTGGTACGGTAACTTTGTGCGAAATCGAGAGGCTCTGATGGCCATGTATGGCCCCAAGATCTACCGGGTGAGTTTCCTTGCACAGCTCTCTTTCTCTCCGTCCTCTATGTTTTTGTCTCAAGGTGGATGACGTGCTGACATCCAGTCTACCTTTTTAGACATTCGAGTTCTTCCTGGCTTACCTGATCATCATCTTCGATCAAGGCAGCGCCAACACTTACCAGATTGTCGTCACCAAGAATCCCAGTTCTGTCGACCGAACCAAGTCTGAGCCTGTAGTTGAGGAGTCTTCTTGGGATCTCTGCGAGTAGCTCCATAGATCTCCCTTCCTTCGATTCAAATTCAATAGATCTTTTCATCTCTCGGAGTTATGGGTTTTCATGAGGAAGCGGTATTCTGGGATGAATTATTAAGGAAATCGGGTCAAAGGGTGGGACACAGGATGAGACAGGACACCTGAAATCACCGTGGTCAATATCATGAAAGTAGCAAGAGGTAGTGCCCTGGTCTACTCCCATGAGAGTTCGGACACAGTCAGTTCCTGAGTGTTGACAAAATGGATGGCTGTGAGGAACAACAATGATGAATGATGTGACGCGGGACGTGATACAGCGTTAGACTTATTCCCTCGCTTCGCCAAGAAACGCAAGATACGGTCGCCTTCACGTATAAATACTACACTGGTTAGAGACTCGGCGGCTTGCAATACCTCCAACGTTCAAGTAAGTGGAAGGGATCGATCAAATTTCTCACTAGCAGGGGGAAGGGGGAGGCGGAGGCGATTCAAGATCTGGTTTCACAAACTTTTCAAAACGCACAGCACCAAACGGACCTTATAGTGTCAAAATCAAGTGAGGACCGAGTGACTGGTCGAGAGGATGTTTGCGCTCCAGCAGATGAGGAAGAAACATAAAGGCAAACACCACGAGAAGGTGTTTGTGCTACCCTCCCTCTTAGAGAAGAGAAATTAGCACAGCTCGGATCAAACTCTCGATCGAACATACCACAAACAGCCCTTCCATCAAACTGTTCCGCCTCACATGGTCGCTGTTCTCTCTGGGAGAGGAACAAAGACGCATGGCCAAAGCTGCGAATAAAACCAAGGGCAACCCCTTTTCGCCAGCCTCCGCCTCGACTTCCCATCTTTCTCGTCACATCTTCATTTCTTCCCACTTGCCACATCATCACGTCGCCTTCAACAAAACCACCTTCTCGTTAACTCGGTTAAAATTTCTGTTGGTTAGACTTCCGACGATGCAGACCCTCTCGGTTCTGCTTCTCGTCGTCGCGGCCAGCATACCGACGGCGGAAACCTTTGGGTTCTGGCGTCCTCATCTACTAGAGCTGTCGACACAGCTAGGAGTCAACGACAGCATTCCCGCGTTACCAAGGGCAAACCGATGGCCACGGCCGCAGCTGACGCCGGTATTCATAGATTCAAATACCATCGCAAAGAGATCTGAGCAGAGGGCCCCTACCACGGCCGTGACCCTAGGCCTAAACACCTGCGGCTTATTCACACTCTCTAAAGAGACAGGTCTGGGTGAGTATTTTCTATTCTTTGATCTCCACGTCAAAACAGCATCTAGAAGCCGGTAGACAAAATCACTACTCGAGGATCCCGGTATTTGCGGTATGCTGATGAACATCTCTCTCGGCTGCCTCAGTGATACGATCACGCACTTGCGATGAAGACACCCGCTGCACCATTCAGAATGATTATTTAGCCTGTGGAGCGGCCCTAGCAACCGCTTGTTTGCCTCACGGCCACTCCATGTGCAGTCCATTTCCATCTCAGACTCGCGGAAGGGATACAATGTGCTGGTACGTCCCCGCGTTCCCCGAGGAAACTTGAAATGTTGCCTCACCCCTTCTTCTCTGGCGGGGGATGACGACACTGACGGTGTCTGAAAAACCCATAGTACGTCAACGAACAGCTTCAACGGGGAGTGCCAGGAGTTCCGCCGGAAAGAGGGCACCCAAGACAAAACACTCTGGGGATGTCGCGAGAAAGGTTTGCCATGGGATCCCCTCGTCTACCTGTATACCGCATCGACCAATTTGCTTCCTCCAGCTCCTGCTACCACCACGTCTTCTTCTTCTTCTTCAGCAGATACGCGAACCACGTCCGTGCCAGGCTCCTCCTCGACAGTCTCAGACGACACGCCAACACCCTCCGTGCCATCAAGCCCGACGCTTTCGACAGCCTCCTCGACAAGCGCACCGACGCCGGAACCTTCCAACGGCGGTGGCGGCGGCGCTGCTCCATCCAGCGGTAATCAGACGGGTGCCATTGTCGGCGGTGTCCTCGGCAGCGTGACCATCCTCGCCATCGCCGGCTGCGTCGCCACATGGCTCGTTGTGAGAAGAAGAAGAGCTTCGTCGGTCCGGGGAGAGTCGACAGGCGGTGGTCACGTCTCACCGTCTCCCAGCCACGAGCTCGCCGGCGACCAGCCGTGTGTGTCTCCGATAAATCAGAAAGAGGGAGAGCAGTGGAACTATCAGCCCATGTCACCCACGTCGCCCGCGTCCTCATCTGCTCAGCATCGGGATGTTTTTCAGGCGCCGGCGAACGATTCGATAGGAAGCGCGATGAAGCCGGCTGAGTTGGGCTGAGTTGAAATGCTCGACGATGTGGCGATCTTCAATGTTTCTCTAGCATCTGGTTCTACGCGAAAGGCCCTGGCGGGCCAAGGGGTCTGATGGAAATGAGTTATCATTTTTTTTCCTTTTGATATGAGTGTTCGTCCTGCGAGCAGATATGCCACTGTCCACAACTTAATAACGGCTGTCTACCAAATTTTATATTGCATCTCACCGGTATTGATATCGGATTCAGCTGTACGCATGTAATGCTATGAACATCCCATGGAGAAAGTTCTTATAGATATCTCCCAGATGTGCAAGGTCTAGCCATGTTGAGTGAGTCAAGAACTAATTGCAAGCTCTTTGAGACCGGTAGCATGATGACTTCCGACGGCTAGAGCACACCTCGTGTACTCGCCTGATTCTAATTATTGCTATTTCAAGAGCCCGTAACTGTAGCTCAAGGACTCGATAGCCATTCATGAGGCTCGGAACCATGCAACATAGTAGATATATTTCGCCCTTGAGACCCTCAACCAAGTGTTTACGTGGAATAAGGGCAGAGGAAGCGATGAGGTGAACAAAGAGACGCGATTCCCTTTCGTTTTGGGTCACAATTTGAATACAAGCAAGGGCAACCCACTTCGCTTGTGTCTTTCGTCGTACATGTTTGCTCCTACTTTGACCATTTCTATTCCAGTTTTAGCCATCTTTGAACCTCAAAAAACCCCAAGTCGGTCCTAACATAGCTGCCAAGAACCTACTGACTTATATGACCAAAGTCAAAATGCCCTTCTGCGCATCTCCTCTTCGCAATGGCCCGCCCGTTCCTGAAGGCACGTACGTCTCTTAGCCTCTCCATTGCTTGCTCCCCTTTCGTTCTTCGATATGAGAGGCCACTCTGTTCTACTTGCTCTCGCCGGCACCCTTCTGTCTCTAACGACAGCGGACCCCATCGCCCTCGCCATCGTCATGCCGACAGAGAGCGCAACTCCCCCGCTTGACAGATTGACAAACAGCGGCCCGCTGGACCAACAACGATCTGGAGTCCGGGCCACGAGACAAGTCATCTCAGAGGGCATGGGAAAGGAGACGTGCGGGTTCTTTAGAACAGGGGGAGGTCAGTTTCCTCCATCATGATCTTGAAATTACCTGCCTGGGCTTTTCTCCCCCAGATTCTGCCTTCTCTCCTGGGAGAGGAGAGGAGGCGGCATGGGATGGGTTCATATTAGGAGATTAATAGAAGGAACCAGTACTGACGCAAAGCCTATCAACCTGTTCTCAGAACTCGCATTAGTCACCTGCACAGCCGGCACAGGAACCTCCAGAATCGCATGCCACAACACGGACAGGTGGCTCTGCGGAAGCCTCTACTCGACCTGTCTAGGCCCCGCCGAACCAATCTGCAGCGGCAAGACGCAGAACGGGGAGAGGACGCTCTGCTGGTATGTCCAACTAGCCCCATTTCACCACTTCAACCCCCCCTTCCTTCATCTTCGTCCAACAAACCATCCCTTTTTCTCTTTCGATGCAGTCCCATCTCTACACATTAACACAACCTCCTCTCTTAAAGCAACACAGAAAGCCCCGTCTGCGGCACCCTCCTCCGCGGCTCAGGCGAAAGCCAGAGAACGGGCCTAGCCTGCTTCGGCGCCGACTTCAAGACAAAATCCATCCAGACGCTCGCGTCGAATACGTGGCCGACCTTTATCACGGACCCGCTACCACCGTCATCATCAACATCGTCGGCGTCTTCGTCTTCGGCTACGTCCAGGCCCCAGATCGCGTCTGCGAAACCCTGCGCTACCCCAACGACCGCCACACCCTCGGCGTCTCCGACGAGCAGACCGATCAAGACGTCAACGTTCGGAATCCCTGATCCCTCGCCTTCGCCTGCGATGGCCCTGGAACAGTCGGCATCGGTGGGCAATGGACAGAGCGGCATCGTTCGGGGGCTCGGTGTGCTGGCTTTTGCGATGCATGTGGCTTGGATTGGTTTGTGAAGGAGTTCCAGGACATGGGGGCAGTCTGATATATATCAGCAGACATGATGGGTTAGAATGAGCAAAATCGTTGAATCAAAAGAGAAAAATAAGAAGAAGAATCATCTTTGCATTTGGTAGTGCCGCTTATGCCATGCCCCCTTGTAACCGATTCAGAGATGGAGCCCCCTTTGTTATCCCAACGCCCCTGTAGACATGTTGCCAAAAACGTTCTGAATCTTCGCAAAACGAGTGCTAGGCCTTTTCACACCTACCGCACCTTATGATTTAAAACCTCAGCTTGGGCATCACAAACACCAAGAGGATCAAGGCGACCATGAGCCCGTACACCCAAGCATACAAAATCATCCTCCCCCACCATCCTTTCCCCTCCGTCATCTTCCGCAGCGTGCCCATCCGCCGGCTCGCGGCGTCCATCGACCTCTCCGTCTTATCCATCCCGTCCGCCGCGCGCGACACCACGCCCTTGTCCTGCTCGAGTGTGCTCGAGAACTTCTGCGAGCTGGCCTTGAGCGCGCTGGCCATCTTGAGGATCGACTCGGAGAGCGCGTCCTGCTCCGCGCGCTGGTGGTCCAGGATCGCCTCGGCCGTCGCCGTCGACGACGCGGGGCCGGAGGCCGAGGACTTCGTGGTGTTGGAGCGGCGGGAGGCGAAGAGGGCTGCGCGGGCTGTGGCTGTCGTTGTCGCTGAGGGCGAATCTGGGCGGGCTGGGCCGCGGGAGCGGAGGGTCTGCGTTGTTGTCGTGCCCGCCTCGAGGGTTGTGTGTGTCTGCGGCGCAGGTGATGGTTCTGTTGCTGATCGTGCTGGTGCCGTTGACGCCTCTGACGGTTCTCTGGGGACAGCCGTTACTGGTGGAGGCAGTTCCGGTATTTCTGGTTCATCGTCGTCGTCTTCGGGGGTGTTGTCTGTGGGTATATCTGTTGACCGCGAGTCCATGCTCTCGCTTGGTGTAGGAATGATATCGGCCAGGACGTCCTCTCCATCTGAACTGTTGTCATCCTCATCCTCGTGTAACTGTTGCGCGGGTGTCAGCAGCGACAACATGGAACTCGTCGCACCCTCACTCGGTCTGCAGGCCATCAAAAAGAGCGCACCTGTTCGAGATCATGCATCCTGTCCACCAGTCTCTCGAGAAGTTCGCGTTTACGGTTGAGATCGACCTGCATATCCTGCCGCCGGGAGAGCAGCTTGACGTGCAGCGCCTCCTGCTCGACTCTGGTAAGAAGACTCCGGGCATATTCGAGGTTCTGTGAAAGATTCCTGGTGAGCATAAAAGCACCGCGCCGTATTGGCCTTTCTTCAGGAGATCCCATACCGAGTTCAATCTCGCTCGCTCAAATTCGCTAGCCCGTAACCTGCGCTCGCGGCTCTGATCGGCATGCAGGATCGCATGGTCAAGTCGTCGCAGGAGTTGGTTGAGCTCGGCCGCGCCCTTCTCGGGGGTTGCGCCGCCGGCGGTAAATGGTGACGCCGATGATAATCGAGCCATAATGTATTTCTCTGGGGTTCCTTCACTTAGGCTCACGATACTTTCGGGGGGTAGTTCGATTTCGGTCGGGTTTTGTAGAACCGGGGATTGTTGGACATGTGTCTGGAAAGCTGATGATGTCGTCGCAAAGTCAAGCCACCGTGGCTGAAGCTCACCCCTCCAAGTGCCGGGCGCACAGGCCACACTCAAACACGTCGATCTCAAAAAGTGGGCTTCCTCTGCCCTTCCGTGTAAGTGAAGCAACATCTGAGAACTGCTCATCTTTGAGTTACTTGTGTCAATCGCACGAGTTCCTCCTAAACTATGTTTGAGATAACATCTCCTAATTAAAAGATTTTTTTTTTTTAAAAAAAAATTCAATTGGCCCAATTACCAATCCATAGATAAGCAATGCCCCTCGTATATAACTGTTGTAGGCAATTCGTCACTGAATACCCAAGTCTATGTGATGTCTTTAGAACATCAACGTAAATACTCTCTGGCAATCGCCAAAAAGCTGGAGTGAAATATTTTGAGGAGCCTGAAGTCTTGTTATGCATCTTTCTCTTGGCATGCAAATCCTTACACACAAAGGTTCACTTGACCAGGCCTCTAGAAAATGCCACAGCAAAGCTATAGCCGCTTCAGCTCATCTCTCACCATGCAAGTAAGTAGGGAAGTAGAAGTTAAGCGATCCAAACATGATTGGAAAGCCTACATGCTAGATGTCCAATATTCTCCGAAACATTACTTCAGATGCGGGCACATAAGACTTCGCGGCCGGAACCGATGAGACGTAGCAAGATATCTAAGAGCTTCATTCATCATGGCCAACTACGCCGACTGATACTAGAACTTATGCGTTATTCTATTGACAACACCGTTCGCCAAAGAAGGGCTCGTTGGATTCTCAAGAACCGGCTTTCATCAAAAGGGTGCAGCTAAGGCCCTTGCATGACCGTCCACTGGAGTGAAGACGGCCTTGTGTAATTCGGCAACACCAAACACCAAAACTACAGTTGTCATCCTTGCTTGATATTTGCATATTCAGAGTCAGACTCTTAGACTACGACTTACATGTCTTTCTTGAAGCAGAGTCCCGAACCCAGATATTCCAATGCAGTCCAGATTTCAAAGTGAACCCTCTACTTTATGACAAACAACATCCCGAATCTCTTTACTCGCCATCATCCAAGAACGCCACTTTCTTGGGTGCCGCGAGACTGCTTGTTAAGTACTTTCTCAGACTTGAGGACCAAGCAACAGATTGGTGAGGTCAGACTACCAAGACGCAAGGTAAACCCGGAATCTCGAGACTACGAAAGCTCCCCCCGAGACGGGGGAAGGGGGAGGGCGGGCATGACTCTCATCATCACCTTGCTTCTCTCTATTGACTTAAAGAGACTCTGGATCAGATAACTTACCTCGGAAGGACGCAAGGCAAGCTCTATAATACGCTTGTAGTATAGTTTCCTGGGCACTCTTCCAAACAACACCACGTGACGGACGCAAATCCTTCGATAACACGACAAAATCTCGTAGCCTTTGAAACATATCGCGAGGTTGCCCTTACAGAGTCACTCGGCCTCGACCCTGTCAACGTGTCGTCAAACTCGTATACCCAGTCAACCGAGTCACGATGCATTCTAGCCAACTTCGCCTTCTTGTGCATAGCCCAGTCAAAAGCTCACCTCACGGGATTTGCAACGATGGGCATGATTGATTCAATGGCAGCGCCTCTGAAACCACTCCCACTCTGCTACCATCACGTGCATCACGGTCAAAAGTTGAAATCGCCTCCAGAATCAAGCGAGACAATTCATCTCCCCCGTCATCTTCGTCGATCACTCGCACGTGTCTCGTGAACAACAGCCCACAATCATTCCCGTAACCAGCTCTGAGTTGTCAATCGTACCAAGAACCAAGGAAGTCATGCAGTAAAGTCCTTGATGAAGAACTTGGAATCACGAATGCTGCGTATCCACAAATAGGTACTTCAGTCTTCAAACTGCCAAGTTAAGAGAGCGAATGCCCTCCCGACAGCTCCGAGCCCCCACATTCGCGCTGCCCATGGGCAAGCTACGATGTGCACAAAGTCAGCACGCTATCGTATTAGAAGCACATTCATGTGAGCGCATGATGGAGGAACAGAGTGTGGCTATGCCCCTCCTTCCATCGCCTTCTACCCCGCGTTCCTCGGACCTGAACAACAGGTTAAAGTGTGGATTCGAACCGTTGCCTATCAAGGAGGTGAAGTTGGCATGGTTGCGTGGGATTTTGGTTCGTATGGACGGCAAAGGGTTTGCAAGTGGTGGTCCTGCAGGGCTGAATGCCTATGGCTTAGACAAGAATCCTCCGTTTCAACAATTAGCCTGTTTCATTTCCTGCAGTTGTGTTGTAGATAGGCTGTAGATCAGAGATCTCTCCGGCCAAGAGCCAGTTGTGAGTGTGTCCCGAAAAATGCGACGGTAAACAGGGCAAGGCGAAAGTCAGTCGTTATTGGGCGAGCTGAGGCGAATGGGCTGGTTTTGATGACGAAGTTGTGTGGTTCTGCGCCACCCCCAAAGGTCGACTAGGTACTGCGTACAGAGTGCGTTGAAGACGAAGGAAATGCGATGCAGCCAGTAAAGATGATGCCAAAGCCGCGTCCGAGGCAGGTCTTCTCCACAAATCCCACTCGGTTGTCGTTGGACAACAGGTGCGGGTGAGGAAACACGACATTTCTGACTTGGGGAACGGGCGCTGTGTGTCCCTGCATGACGAGAGAGGATTTGGTGCTAATTATGGAAACGGGATGAACCCGGCATTGGTTGGACCAGCTCATTGACGGCATTTTGAAGGGTCTTCACAATGGTACGTAGTCTTAGAGGGTGTGAGGGTGTGGCGTGGTGCTGTGCGGTGGCAGTGGGCGGCATGTCGGGACCTGGAGGCAACACTGTCGAAGCCGGGAAGGGCGTCGGGGCAACAAGCTCTTTCAAGCACTGAAGGCCGTTGACATAAACCTGGCGGGGGATGCGGGCATCGTCGTCGAAGCCGGAGGTACACGACGTCATCAGGTAGCTATGGGGATGGGAGCAATTGCCAATGAGACAGAAGAGTACATGCGGATTACCGCCTGGTCTCTGGCCAGGGCCACGAGAGCGTAAGTAGCGGTAGGGTATCTGCTGCTATGGAAGCCACTGTGACCCGCCAGTCCCTGAAGATGGGATAGACATGGGCATGGAAAGGCCGATGAATGGTCGGAAGGATGGATGTTCGGCAAGATCCAGCATCTGGGCTCTGCTCTGCAGGCGGTGCAGAGGCTGCCACCTTGGGTCGGATGGGTGCCATTGGGTTGTGTTGGGTGGCTTGTGTTGCTTTTCTGCAAAAGGTATGTGAACCGTGACCCGGGAGCCAATCGCCCATGACTCCATGTTGCTGAACTGATGAGAAAACACGAGGAGTCTTAGGCTTTGCTCTCCTGGACCAGAGGCATGTCGGATAAAATGCGAGACATTGGTGTCAAAGCTGTCAGACATTACCTGGAACGTCGGCCGATGTGTTGGTGTCAGTCAGAGAGCGCAGGGTGCGCTAGGAGTAGCAAGTCCTGGGGCCCATTGGCTAGACTCTGTCGGTTGCAGGTGAGTGCTGCGAACCGAAGCTTGGAAGTGGCATGGTATCTGGCCACGAGTGACGAATTGACTGCCTGGACGAGTTGAATCTCGGCGCCGACGTTACGAGACGAGATTCTGCATTTCCTGAGCGGCGGTATCACTCCGGAGAAGAGGGCCGCGAGGGAGCACAACGAACGAATGCCATGTGGTGTTGTGTGTCTCGGCTCCACCACAATGGATCGCATCTGTACTATGGTGAGGAGAAAGTCCAAAGCGGGAGACAGCACTTTCTACTCTTGAATACATTAGATTAGATACGCAATAGTCGATGCCTTGCACGCTTTGATTGTCCCACGGAGCAGACTGGCACATCAGGCATGGACAGATGTCGTCGGTTGAGTCCATGGTTACAAGGCCTGATCGTGCCGGCACAGTTCCATCCGCCAGGAGGCTTAGTTCGGCGCTGGCAAGGTGATCGACAGCGGCTTTTGCCTCTTCGGAGACGCAGCTTCGGGCTGGACCAGCAAATGGACCGCGCCCTGAGGTCAAGACGTGACGGAAGTCCTGTTCTGGTTCAGGAGAAGCTCAAAACGGACGGGTGAGAGCAAGATGATGTCGTCGTGGTAGCATGAGATGACTCGACCAAGGAAGGCAGGGGAAACGAAACGCTACTTTGCTAGATTCTTCCTCCCAGACTGATAACAGCAGATCCACCGACCGAAAGCAGGTTGCGGGACGGAAATTGCAACGAAAGCCAAGTTTTCGAGTCCGAGATAGGTAGTCTATACGATGAAATGGCAGAAATGGCCACGGTTGACATTTCCAAGACAGCTCGACAGACAGGGACAAGTAAGAGGGTACGTTCAGAATAAGACAGTGAGTCTCAAAAAAGCGAAAGCCGGACGGATAGCTGAGCACGCCGCACGGTGGGTTTCGCGTGTCGATGTGACGATGTGCAGCCCCGGCTGATGTGGGAAGAGAAATGCGGCTTGCGGCCGGCAATGTGGGAATATTTTCAGTCCAAAAGTCAATTGATTGCAAAACGAATTCACGGCTGGCCTGATGTTGCGGCAGTCGCGTGTCATAGATACACTTTCTTCTTTCCATCTCAAGGTGAGGTACCTTATTTCGAGGTACTTTGAGATGGAAGATGGGAAAGAGGAAAGAGGTGCCCGCCAGCTTGGGAACCAGGTTGGCAGGTGCATCGGTCAGTTGGTGCCCGGCCTGGATTGGACGAGACGAGCAGGTGCCAATTAATGCAGGTACCTCCGGCGGCGCGTTCCCGTTGTGTCCATGGTCAGACTGCGCACCTCAGCCTGCTATGCCTGCCTTACTTCAGATTTTGCCTGATGATTGTTAGAGGCCTGAGACATAAACAATATCTTTTGGTACTGAATGAGTTCTCGCTATCGCGGGAGGAGAACAAAAGCATCTGAAGGCTTAGATGGAACGTGAGTAGTATTTTGGCGAGTATATGGATAAGCTGAGTGTCAAGACCTAAGGATCACGGCCTTTAAAAAGGCAGCATAGATGTGTTAGTGGTGATTGAGGAAAGTGCCCTAGATGGGTCTCTCTTGAATCGATTCTGGTCTTACGCCGACTTCTAGAGTGGATAATCACGAGGGGAAGTAGACAGTTTCTTGCTCTCGTGTTTTTTTTCTTCTTCTTTCCTGGCGACTGCTTCCCGACGTCTTTTTTGTTTTGTTTTGTTTATTGGTTCCTATTCGTGTTTTGTTTTTTTCCTTTCTAGAACCAATTTCCAAAACTGGTATTCTCCTGGCTCCGTTACCCGTACTAGAGCGCCCAAGCTCCGGTGAGCTCCCGCCAGCGCCGCTAGGAGCAGAAGAGGGGACTTGTCTCCACGTCTAAGCAGACGACAACCATGGATGAACCATCCAAACCATCAATTGGACCAGGCAGATCCCATCGAGAGGCTGGAGACTCGGGAGTACAGAGGCGCCTCGGACTGTGGGCAACGTGGCTGTCACCGTGCAATTACCACTGCCCGCATGAAAGCTCTCTGCTCGAATGTCAGGGCACTGCATATCTAAGCTTTCGTGGAGGGAATTAGTGACTCTCCTCACTGACAAGCGCTGGCAGCAAGCTGCAGTGCCGCACGAGTCCACCTCCCAAGCTTGACTCGCGAGGCTTTTCGCGAACGGCCGAAAAGACTCAAGAGGGGAAGAGGGGCCTTTCCAGCATGCGGCAAATCCGCTGGGCACCTTGACACAGGCATGCGGCATCTGTGTATGAGGTACCCTTTTCACCCGTAGCGAAGGCGCTGTGAGTTGTAAATCATGTAGGGAAAAGGGGTTGACGCATGCCGGCAGTTTATTTCGCGATGAAGTGCGCAAGCGATAGAACTCGGATCTTTAGATCCCAAGGACCAAGGGATTGAGGGAGTCGAATCATAAATGTCAAGATGCTGAGGTAATATCGCTCATAGATGCCCAAGTGATGCATCTTTTCGAGATGGGAACTCAAGATCTTGACAAGTGAGAGCGTGGCGTGGCGTGGCTGGTAGCATCTGCACGCTTCCCTTGCCGTACCTTAACTTAAAGTTCCTCGCCGGACTGTAGACGCCGTATGAAATCTCTGCCTTCACTCCACCGCGAGACCCAAGGTACCTAGGTACTTCACTACCTGGTAGGTATCCGTATGCACGTCTCGTCTGGGTGCTCAGAGTATATCTGTGTAGGTATCTTAATTCAGTGTGAGGTATTCGTAAGGATCTAACGCCGTGTGTGCGAGTGTGATGTGGACTGAGATTTGAAAAGTGTGGACTGAAATCACTAGACTGATGCAGAGTACGTGTGTAAGTGCGTAGTCGTGAAATGAGAGAGTGATTGAATGTGATTGTTTTATTGATCTGGTGTTGAACAATAAATAAAAAAACAAAATTTTAGACCAACCCGCCAGGCGGGGAGGACTCGGAGAAAGGGCCGCCCATCAGTGGTCACTGGGGGACTCCCGAGTCTGGGACCCACTACCATCTCGTCAGTCTCATTTCGCGCAAGAGCTCCCGTCGGCAGGGTCACCCCTCCTTCCTGGCCTCTCCCATTGTTCTCCTTGAGTCCTTCCCTCTCACGCTGCTTTGGCTGCTTCCAGAGTCGAAGTTCTGCCAGCCCCCAGAGGTAAGAACCCAGGTGGCAGGCACCCAGGATGGCCCAGGCCTCCCGTCGTCCCATTTGATCCTTCCTGACGACGCCCCACAGAGCCAAAAATGCGGCGAGGTACTATCTTGCCATGATGGTCATATGAAAGGTACTTGGCCGTCTTTGGAGCTGGGTGCATGGCAACATGGAAATTACGGCACTCACTTTGGGCCTGCCAGCTGGAGATAGACAAAAGCGTTTATTGTCACTTGTACTTGTATGCATAGGAAGGTACGTACCTTTGATATGGAGACATGGGCGTGGACAACACTGTGAGTTAGGTTTGCAGATTCATCCATTCTCTTTCTGCGTCTCCTCTCGCATACCACCGTGCCTCTGCGTCCATCTACCAGGAAGTGCCGCGTCGTTGTCCCCTTGCATGCTGTCAGCCTTTCTCCAGCAAGCAACATGTAACCACAGGGCAGTCATCCATTCCCACTGCCGCCATCACGATAAGGGACTACTCTTCGAACAAGGTACCTAAGGTATCCCAAGGTGAAATAACACCATCACCGTCGCTATCGCCAGTCCACCTCCTCTTCAATCATCGGTGACAGTACCCTACCGGCAACTAGCTGCCATGGGCCCTGACGTCTGGGTACTTTAGGTTAATAGCTAAGGTGAAGTGCTAACATAGCTGGCCAGGAACCCCAGTGGTCAGGGAGACGCCGTGAGTCCGCGACAGTCGGGAACGACCAGTGACAGACGGCTAATGAACGGCCTCCGCCCAGCAGCCTCCGCCCAGCAGCATTCAACGTCCCACGTCGCACGTAACTGCGCATCAGTAGCACACATTGGCCGCTGCAGCCTTCGGGCCTCGACGAGTCTTTCTCTCCACCGTATAATGGGCCTGGAGTGTCTGGCCTGTCTTGGTCCCTGGGCCTTCTGGAGCTTTTGCAAGGTCCCAGGCCAGCTCTCTTCCACTCGTGAGCACTGCTCCGGGCCATTTAGACGCACCTCACCTAGGGGTACCTCCATTCCCTGACGAGAGTAGCGGGGCAGGCAGGTATCTTATGTTTCCACTCCCGCTCCCACACTCCCGTTTCCTCCCACCCGACCTCTCCAGCCAAGGCCCAGCGCCAGTCCCTGTGCCCACTACTTACTTGCCTTACCTTAGTGCTAAGTACGGAGTACTGCGTACTGCGTAGATATTGGCATTGAATTCACATTGGAGCCTCTGCCCTCTGGCTCCATCAAATGGGCATGACATCGGTATCGCAGCCGTCCAACCCCTCACAACCCTCATCCATCCCCGTCGTCGCTGGCCCTACCAGACCACCTGACCGGCGGCAACCCTGCTCTTTGCTGCTACCTTGATCCGGGTTATCCATCCCGTCCCGTAATGTCAGCGCCTGGCTGCCGCCGCCGCGCTGACGAGTTGTACCGCTTGGTATGCTCCTTCTGCTGGTGCTGGTGCTGGTGCTAGTGCCCCTGATGCGTGTACGTGTGTGTTATTGATGCTTGCTTGACGCTGCCCGTCGTGTCTATTGAATTTCTCTGTCCGCGGACCGCTGGGCACTGTAACCGTTATTCGCTCAGCTCTGGGTACTTCGCGTTTCCCCGACTCCATGCTTGCTTCTCAGGGTCTACGGTTCCCGCATCGTCGACGTCCAACATCGTACTCCGTACTCTGTGTACCATACTTCATTGTCCACAGCTGGGTACCTCAGTAATACTCACTGCTGCTGCAAAGCAAAACCTCACTCTCGCTTTCAGTCTCAGTCTCAGTCTTTCTCTTATTACAGTCTCACTCACTCAACTACACTACGCTCATTCACTGTCCATTATCAACTTTACCAGCGTCGACACTCCAGCCTGGCCTGGAGTTGCTGCCTGTGAGATTGAATCAAATTAGAAGAAAAGGAAACAAAAAGTACTGGTCTCATCACCCACTGACGACAACGTGTCTAGCGCACACCCATACTCCTTCCCTCCACACCTCTTTTCCTACCTTACCTTAGGTGTCTGCCTTACCTCACACCTCACACCTAAGGTGCTCTCTTCCTCTCTCTCTCTCTCTCTCTCTCTCTCACTCTCTGACCTTGCCTTGCCTTGCCTTGCCTTGCCTTACATCACCTAGGTACCACTACCTACATTTCCTGACCTCGCCCGATTTACGCACATACGCACCCGCACATTACACCTACGCCCGGCCTGGACCACTTGGACCTGAACCCCAACCTGGACCTGGACTGGACCTGGACCTCTGACTTGCACCGGCACCTGCAACCTCTCCTGCGTCCCTCCGCCTTCGTCTATTCGTACCTAAAGTGCTCCGTACCGACTCCGTACTTGCTTCGCCCTCTCTGAGCTCTGCCTTTGCCTCACCTCACCTTACTCACCTTCCTATTGCTTACCTGGTACCGGTGCACATACCTCGCATTTCCCCCCTTCTACCTTACTCAACCCCCAGACTCTCTTCTCCAGACCATACTCCTTCTTTCCTTGCCCTATTTTGCCTGACCGACAACTATCGTCAACGAGGTTTCAACGAGTCGTTGTCGCACCTAGTCTTCTGGTCGGAAACGTCGCTCGCTTCCATTCGTTTTCTGTCGTCGAAAAAATCCCACCAACGCACAGCTCGCTCGTGTCTTACCGACTCCCGCCATCCCCTCTCTAGCTCCGCATCGTCGTCGCCCGCCGCCCTCTGTCCCCGGTCAACGCTGCCCGAATACACCTGGGTCATTTCACCTACACGGACGCTCTTCGTCACCTCACTCGCTCGCCCCTGTTCCCCTTCCTACTCACACTTGGGTCGGAACTTCTTCATGACATCAACAGCAGGGCTTTTGCAACACAAGACAAGGAGGACTTCCAGAGACGGTCTCTAGGAGCGCTTCACTCGACAAAGGAATATTTGCGCGCCAAAAGAAGCCCACGGCCAATCACCGCCTGCGCGTCGCATCTCATCCTAGCGCATGCTCACACCCAATACCTTTCAAGCGACTCGATCCTGTGCCAAAACACCACCAGGCGACCAAGCGACCAACCGATTGACCTGCAGATCGAAGACCGACTGCACTGAATCTGTCTCTAACATCCAACTTTCTTTGATCGTCGCTCGACCAAACTCTGTCGCTTGACACACTTTGTTCATACTCGATTCCCACGACAACCAAAGGACGCTGGCTGCGATAAAGTAATTGAGCTCCGACCACCTGCGCTCCGTCATTGCGATGACGTCCGCCGCTACTCCCCCCAACCAGGCTTTTCAGCCCACGAGTAACTCAACCGCGCCCGCCGCGCCCTCGACTCCGAATAAGAGAGACCTGAAGTCGTGGTGGAAAGGATTCAAGCTTCCTTCGAAGCATCAGGAACATCACGGTAGAGCCCCTTCTACTTTCGCATCGCAACAACTACCCCCAACTCCCACCCAAACCCTCTTCAGTGAAGATGTCGACGAGGCAATCGATACGTCAGCCGCACCTCTCAGTCTTGTCTTGCTGTTGCAAGATACCCATCCTGTTGGGTCCTGCGATCCCATTTTACCTCAAGTCTGCGCTTCGAGTGATGCGACAGCCTCCAATACCTTGAACCCGACTGGTCGGCTCAACAGGCTGTCCCTGTCTATCACCATGCCTGTGCGCCAGTGTGCCAAGCACATCCGCGCGGCTGTGAAAACGTCTTCTACTTCATGTGCTAAAGGTTCTACAGCAGACAACCGGCCTCACGGAATTTTCGGCGTTCCTCTCCGTCAGAGCATCACCTACGCCAATGTCGCGATATCTCTTGTCGACGAGAACGGAAAGAGCTATATTTATGGCTACGTACCGATTGTTGTCGCCAAGTGCGGCGTCTTCTTGAAGGAAAAGGGTAAGTGTACTTGAATGATGGTCCATCTCCAACATGCTCACGTCCCGTCTTCTTAGCAACAACGGTGGAGGGCATTTTCCGCCTCAGTGGCTCCGAGAAACGAATCAAGGAACTGAAACAGATTTTCGACTCACCCGATCGCTACGGAAAGGGCCTGGTGTGGGACAATTACACGGTTCACGATGCTGCCAACGTGCTCCGACGATACCTCAACGACCTTCCTGAGCCCGTTGTGCCGCTAGATCTATACGAGAAGTTCAGGGAACCGTTGCGAGGCGCTACGAGGCAAGCCGTGGGCGATGCCGAAGGCCCGCAGTTTGTCGAAAATTTTGACGATCAAGCAGCCATCGTCAAGTACCAGAAGCTCATCACGGAGCTTCCACCACTGAATCGCCAGCTTCTGCTATACATTCTGGATTTGCTCGCTGTCTTCGCCGCCAAGTCGGAAGAGAACAGGATGAACTCACAGAATCTAGCAGCAATCTTCCAACCCGGCATGCTGTCGCACCCGCAGCACGCCATGGCGCCTGAAGAGTATCGCTTGAACCAATGCGTGCTCATTTTCCTCATCGAAAACCAGGATCACTTCTTGATTGGCATGCAGGGCACGGCTACTGACGAGAAGACAAAGCAGCTGATCGAAAAAGGCACACCCCCTGCAGCCAGTGGGCCAGTGACTCCTAACCCTAACAGGAAGTCGGGTCTGGGTCGGTCTTCATCCAATGCGAGTGCCGGCGCCGACAGTGTACGAAGAGACGGAATGCTCAGAAGAAACCGATCGACATCTTCAAGGCACTCGCACCATGAAGGTTCTACGACCCCAAACAGCCCGGCACTCGCACCAACCCCGAATAGCGGCCTTGGCAGAAGCAACACAGTCCCTTCCAAGAAGTCCCCTGCTCTTCAGACGGGGAGGTTCAGACGTGATGCTTCACCCATTCCAGGCTCGTCACCGCGTGAGCCCATGATTCCGGCGACGACGGAAGAGCTTGTCGAAGCACCTGATCAGTCCCCTGCTGCGTCGAGCATTTCCCCCGCGCCGGCTGCAATAGGCACATCTAGCCTGGCACCCACCGCTGCTGGCAATGCAGGCAGAAGCCAGGAGAGGCTGCTTGACCCGAATGAAGCTACGACGCCCATCAAGGAAAGAGTCCTTCCTAGCATATTCCAAAGATCCCCCACCGGAGAGGGCGAGAAACGACAACCGAACAAACTGAAGAAGAAGCGCATTCCTGGGAGCTTGAACCCGAGCGCGCAAAGCTCGGCCGCATCCTTGTCCGGTACGCACTCAGCCGCTGTGTCCCCTAGTCTTGAGGCCCCCAACCCCATGGATCTGGTGGCCGATACAATCCCAGAGCACGATTCCCTCGCGATTGGCCAGCAGCCTGGTGCAGTTGATACACCCTCGGAACCCACCCCGCGTGCATCACAGGTCCCCTCTAGCAACACCCTACATCCCGAGCAGACGCTCAAGGCTAAGAAATCGCCGCCGACATCACTTCACTCATCATTTAACGAAGGTTCTGACGTTGATCAGACTGAAGAGTCCATTGTGACGACTTCGGCAGACGCCAGCGAGCCGGATAAGGAAAAGAAG